GTTTGAATCTTCTTCTCCTTCTCTAGTTTTTTCTTCTTCTCCTTCTTATCATTATTATTATTATTATTATTATTATTATTTGTGTAGCTATTTACCTCCCTGAAAATCTATTTCCTGATATGAGGATTTGATTAAAAAATATCAATATCTTGGGGCACCTGGGTGGCTCAGTCAGTTAAGTGTCTGACTCTCAGCTCAGGTCTTGATCTCAGGATCTTGAGTTCAAGACCTTCATTGGGCTTCACACTGGGCATGGAGCTACAAGAAAGAAAGAAAGTCAAAAAGAAGAAAGAAAGAAAGAAAAAGAAAGAAAGAAAGAGAGAGAGAGAGAAAGAAAGAAAGAAAGAGAGAAAGAAAGCAAAAGAAAGAGAAAGAAAGAGAGAAAGAAAGAAAGAAGAAAGAAAAAGAAAGAAAGAAAAAGAAAGAAAGAAAGAAAGAAAGAAAGAAAGAAAGAAAGAAAGAAAGAAAGAAAGAAAGAAAGAAAGAAAGAAAGAAAGAAAGAAAGAAAAGAAAGAAAATATATTTAGGGGTGGCTGGGTGGCTTAGTCAGTTAAGTGCTTGCCTTCAGGTCAGGTCATGATCCTGGAGTCCTGGAATCCAGCCCCACACTGGGCTCTCTGCTCAGCAGGGAGTCTGCTTCTCCCTCTGCCTCCCCCCCACTCATTCTCTCTCTCTTTCACTCTCTCAAATAAAATAAAATCTTAAAAAAAAAAAGAAAAGAAAAGAAATATCTTTAGTGCAGGATTTATGATTTTTTTTTAAAGATTTTATTTATTTATTCATGAGAGACAGAGAGAGAGACAGAGGCAGAGGGAGAAGCAGGCTCCCCGCGGAGCAGGGAGCCCGATGCGGGACTCAATCCCAGGACCCTGGGATCATGACCTGAGCCGAAGGCAGACGCTTAACTGACTGAGCCACCCAGGCGTCCCTTTAGTACGGGATTTAATGTCTAAAATATAGTAGGCATGTATGACCTTGCTTTTGCTTTCAACTAGATTATAAACTTCTTAAAAATAGAACTATAATATTGTAACTATTTGTTTATTTAGTATCTGGCACACATTAGACATTGAATAATTTTTAGTTTATAATTTTGGTGCAGTGGTAATAAAATTCTCCAGAGTGGATTTTTATTAAAAAAAAATCTTCTGGAGACTTAAGATAGCAAACCCTGTGTTATAATTTGTGGACACAAAGATGAATAAGCAACTATCCTTCTTAGGGGACCTTAAGTTCAAGAGGAAACACAAAATAAACATGATAAATTGGGTTTGTTACTAAAAGTGAGCATAGTGGCAATATAGTAAAAGAAAAGATTATGCTAGTCTTAGAGGTTAGTGAAGATCTGGGTCACGTAAGCTGGGTTTTAAAGAATGAGGAGGAGCTTGCCAGGCAGATGGCAAGGCAAAGGAAAAGAAAAACACACAGAGGTAAAGAGGGACATTATCTGGAGAGATGCTGAGTGTTCAGGTATGATTCAGATATGAAAAATATGTATGTGATAAAGTTGGAAAGGATAAAAAAAAAGGCTTCGTACATCAGGCTAAGAAGTTGGAATATATGGTGTAGAATTAAGGAGGCTTAGAATTTTTTTTAAGTGCTTGAGTCACATGACTGAATATGTGTTATAATACAGTAATGGCAGTGTGGAAGACAGTTGAGTAGGAAGACTGGAAAAGTGGGAACCAGTTAGAGAAAAGACAACAAAATGATGGTTTGGAATAACTGACATGGAAGAATCTTTACCCTAAGGCCCAACTCAAGGAATTCAACTAGATATTATTTGGACTTTTCAGTTTTGAGTTTCTATTTCATATTTTTTCCATTTTTATGAGTAGACACTTTTCAAGGAGGATACGAATAATAAAATGACTTACAAATGGTATGTGGTACCCTTCTGAGTATTAGAGTAGATGTGAAAATAGGGCCAACAGAGAGAAACAGAGAGAAGGTCATGTGAAGACAAAGGACATCAGAGTGATGCATCTACAAGCCAAGGAATGCCAAGATTGCCAGCATCCACCGGAAGCTAAGATGAAGCACACAAATATCCTAGCCTAGAGCCTTTAAGAAAACATTTTGCTCTTCTAGCATCCAAAACTATTGTCCAGAGAAAATAAATGTATGTTGTTTAAGAAAAAAAGAAATAAAGAAAAAAGGAAGAAAATAAGTCCAACATCTTCCAAGGGGAACTTGGCTTCTCCTTAACCTGAAGGTTTCTCTCCTCAGGCAGCTACATCCACATAGATATGTACAGAAAATCTGTCACTGACCAAGTTAAAGCCTAGGCAAATCCAACTGTAAGCTTGTCAAACCTATGTGCCTATGGGTATTTGGAGTGTGGGGTCCCAGTGGTCAGGACTGCAGGGAGAGACTGTTCTATGGGTTGTCCTATGGGGTGCACATAAGTGATACAAAGCTGTCCAGAACAGATGTAACCAAATCCTGGTAGGCTGAGTTGTCACTTTGAAGAGGCAAGGTTTTCTACTATGCTCCTGGGAGACCAGAGTTCTTTTGGCCAACATGAGGTTGTGGAGTAAAGGTGGGTGGAGGGAGAGAGGACAGTGGCAACAGCAGCCTAGAGGTAGCCCCCCACTCTTACTTCAACTCAAGAAGATCCAAGTTTGTTGTTTTTTTTTTTTTTCTGTTTTCTATAAATTTCACTTTAGATTTCATTTGAATAAAGTGTTCTATTTTGTTAAATATTTTATATTTTTAAGTAATCTTACACCCAATATGGGGCTTGAACTCACAACACTGAGGTCAAGAGTTGTACACTCTATCGACTGAACCAGCCAGGTGCCCAAAAAGTGTTCTAATTTAAAACCAATTTGAAAAACACTGGACTAACTAGATATATAAGGCAAATCCAGATGCATGGGAAAGAGATAAACCCTAAATACTAACGAGAGACAAAATGTTGAAGGCAGTTGTTGGAATCCAAACCTGAATGAATTCCCTGAAACATCAGAGCCTCAGGTGCAGGGGGATAAACTAGTGCAGACACTACTAAATTCTAGAGGGGGCCTTCAGGAATTATCCAGTTCCTTAAGCATGCCACTTGTATTCTCCAGAGGTTCTCCCAACTTTGGGCCAATAAATACCAAGGTGAAGCAGTTTCTAAGAATAATTCATTGGTCTCTGGATTTATTGAGAATATGTATCACCTAGATTTGTACTATTTCAGAGGATTTATTTCTTCAGATGTAAACATTTTCTAAGCCCCACTGAATTTGTTAGTTTGTCCTTCCTTCCTTCCTTCCTTCCTTCCTTCCTTCCTTCCTTCCTTCCTTCCTTCCTTCCTCCCTCCCTTCCTCTCCTTCCCTGCCTCCCTCCTTCCTTTAAAATTTACTGAGTATTTACTATGGTCCAGACACTAGGAATCTAAGATATGTGCAGATGTTCAAGGAGCTTACAGATTTGTGTGAAAGACAAGTGAGTATACAAATAACACAGCCCAGTACCTGTTAGGGTAGAGATGAGCACAGGGCCTGTAGGAGCAGAAGATACTGATTGCACCAAAACTCCTAAGAAATTGAGATCAATATTTCTATGGCTCTAGAAGAACTGGCTGAAGTATTTTAGACATAAACTGTGATGTTGGGGAAGCTTCAGAATACTTTGATAGACAGAATCCCTATGAGATTATTAACATGTAAGATAGATGATCGTGAGGCAGGTGTGAGAGAAGATATATAAAATAGAAGTGATTTTTAAAATGAACAAATGCACACAGAATATGTATGTAGATGAATTACTCAGGCAGTGGGATGGTAAGAGTCCAAATACCCTCAAGGAATGTGGTACTCATCACCATACCTGACACACAATTATCACATGCTAATTTAGTTTATTGGGTGGAATTAAATATGAACATGCCCAGATTCTTAGAATTGGAAGGAGTGTGGAAGAGCATGCCACCCAACAGCCCACTAATGCACACAATGTGTGTTTCCTTACCATAGGCTGGCTGTGGTCAGGTCCCCTTGCCCTACACCTGCCCATTTGCACCACCACCCGAGCTCAACTCCTCTCAGTACCAAATATGCCACTGCTACACAGCTATTATTCATATTTAAGTGATAAAAACCCAAACAATAATAGAGCAAAAAGGAGAGAGCGAACCAGGAAAACCAGCATTAGTTATAGAGGTTCTTGTATCAACTGATTCAACTGTGTATCAGTTTAATAGGCCAACCATTTTTCTTCTATTCTGGCTTAGATTATTTTACAATCTTATTTCACAGTATGTATTATGAAATTCTATGAAGAGAATTAGGAAGAAAATGAATTATAAGAAATGGTAGGAATTGGGGGCGCCTGGGTGGCTCAGTCGTTAGGCGTCTGCCTTTGGCTCAGGTCATGATCTCAGAGTCCTGGGATTGAGCCCCGCATCGGGCTCCTCGCTCTGCGGGAGGTCTGCTTCTCCCTTTCCCGCTCCCCCTGCTTGTGTTCCCTCTCTCACTGTGTCTATCTCTGTCAAATGAATAAATAAAATCTTAAAAAAAAAAAAAGAAATGGTAGGAATTGAAGAGAGAATAGAAAAGGACTCTATCTTATTAAAATTTTTCACAATCCAATTACACAATAGACTTGTGATTGTTTTATTTTCCAACCTGGAATTATGGTTTTTCATCACACACACACACACACACACACACACACACACACACTAATTTTGTACCTATACTTAGGATTTTCCATATGGACCCAGATGCTATAGTAATATAACATTTTTTAAAATTTGAATAATGAAATTTATATAGTATATATGGTGTATATATATATTAATATAGTATATAGCATATATATATATTGCTATATGTAAATACATGCTTATGCTATATACTATATACATACAGTAATATAGGATTTTTAAAAATTTGAATAATGAAAGGATTGAGACATAGATCCCTAGAAGAGAGTAATGATCAACTAAAAGATAATCTGATCACATTTTTGCATATGTTTAATTCTAATTTCTAATATTTTTTTTCAAGGAAGCTTACAGGTTCACTATCAGCTAAGCAAGGAAGAAACCCAGGTTTTCAATATTGATGCAGAGAACTTTGCCAACAGAAGGATGCACCACTTAAACATTGACCGGGAGGGAAGAGAGCTTACCATTCAGGTATCTTACTTTACTTCTTCTCATTCAGTCAAATATGCTTTGGCTGTTCAGTAAAATTTTCTGTTTCTACCCTGAGCCAAGCATACAGCCAAGTTCTGGGGATAGATATCAAGCACACTTGACTCCAGCTTTTGAAGAACTAGACAAAATTGAACTACTGAACTACAGTGTGTTCCCCTCTTGCTACCAGCATCAACATCACCTGGGACCTTGTTAGAAATGCAAGTTCTTGGGCCTTACTCAGATATACTTAATGACAACTTTTTTGCAGGGGGTAGCAGGTGATTCTGAAGCCTGATCAAATTTGATAACACTGAATTGGAGTATAAGAGGAGGACACACAGCTGAAGAGGAAATCACAAGAGACTGGCAAGGGCTAGGGGAGAAATGTGTGCAGGTGATATGGGAGCACAGATGAGGTCACTGATCTCTTCTGGGAATCAATATTTGTTTCTTGGAGAAAGTTAGGAATAAACTGAGTCATGAAGGTGAGGAGGAATTGGCTAAGAGGAGAAGAGAGGAAGAAATGCTCAGATGGTGGGTCCATGTGAGAATCAGCAAAGATGTCCAGAAAAGCAGAGTGTGTGGCAAGCACTCTGGAATTCCAGGGGTCTTGGTATAAAAGGCAGGGATCAGGTGAGGGCATATGACAACAGAGAACTGGCAGAGTCTACATCATCCTATTCAGAATCATGACTTCAAATGAGCTCTTCCATCTGCCCAGCAATTGCCTCTTATTTTTTTTTTAATTCATCACTTTTGATCTCTTAGATGATAATTTTAAACCTCCTTCTTTCCCCTTATACCCCAACAATTACAACCCCATCTTCACTTGTATGAGATGACTTTCTTTTCTTCTTTATTGTGATAACAGGTCTCATATCACACTGAAGAACATCACTCCAGCAACTTCCCCTCCCTTGTCAACATTTCCCAGTTCTGTTTGGATGGCTTCCCAAAGCATAAACATGCGAGGATTGCATTCATTAAAAACACAATTACAATACAACACAACACAACACAACACAACACAACATGACAAAAATCACTCTCTAGGTCAGGGAAGGGAACCTCTCTCTTGTCTGACTTCATGTACTGTCCCATTTTCTCTTTCAGTTTATTGCCCACATCCTTGGAAATGTTTATATATTTGGTCTTCCAATTTGCCCTTCCTTTTTTCTTAAACCAGTGAAGAATTTGTCTCTGTGCTGGACTAAAATTATACTTCTCAAGACACCAGTGATCTTACAGAATCTAACAATCTTCTCCTTACTTATCTTCCCATTGGCATTTGACGCAGTGATGCCTCTGCTCTTGAGACACATTATTATTTAGCTTGTAGGACATCAATTTCACCTGTTGTTTCTTCCGTATCTTCTGGATGCTCATTCTCTTCTCTTTTGTTGCCTTCCCATCATTGTCTGAAGTGCAGCATCCCAAGACTCATCTTCATTTCTTTTGTGTCTACACTCATTCTGTGTCTAACCTCATTCAGACTCACATCTTTAAATGCCATAGAATGCTGATTAATTAATCCCAAAGCTACATTTAACTCCAATCCTTTCTCTGAATTCCAGACCTATCATTGCCTACTTGGCATATCTTAAATGTCTATTAACCATCTTGAATGTTACATATTTCACACCGAGTTCCTGAAAATCTTTCCCCAAACATTCCCTACCCCCATAATCTTCCACACCTCAGTTAATAGCTGCTCTATTCTGGCAACTTCTCAGTCTAAACATTATGGTGTCATCTCTGATATCTCTCTTCTCTCACATACAGCATCCTGTTGATCAACAGCCTCTACCATGCCCCAGCCACCCTCATCTCTTCCTTGGATTATTACAGTTTACAGTTGCATCTTAATTGACAGATCTCTCCTTCACTTTTTGTTCCCCTACAACCTGTTCTCAACACAGCAGCCAGAGAGATCCTATTAAAACATTAATCAGATGGTTCTCTTACATCCAAACACTTCAGTGGTTTTCTTTCTCATGTAGAGTAAAAGCCAAAGACCTTGAGAAGCTTAAGGGGGTCTCCGTGACCCAGCATCCACAGCTCCATTCCCATGTTACTCCTCATCTATCAGTATTTTCTTTGACTCTACTCATGCCACTCTGGCCCCCTTGCTGTTTTCAGGGCTCTTGAACATATTTGAATATGCTTTGCTTAGAATGCTATTGTCCATATATCTACATTCCTAGTTGTACTTGCACTTCTTTCAGGACATCACTCAAAAAGCTATTCTTAATGAGAACATTTTTGATCACCTTGTTTAATACAGCGACCTAGCCCTTTGACATCCACCCTACAGTGCTTAAACACAATCTAACATTCAATATAATTTATTTATTTATCTAATTTTTTGTCTTCTCTCTCCTCTAGAGGACAGGGATTTTTTCTGTTTTTATTACCATAGAACCCCCACTTTATTAAGCAGTGCCTAACATATAGCAGGTACTCAATTAATATCTATGAATGAAATGAATAAATTCCACAAGGCTTAATTTATTATGTGGAGGAGATCAAATTGACCCTGTGGAGAAGGGAAGGGAAACCATTGGATTATAGGCAGGGGAAGTACAATTTCATTTTCAGGGGTTCACTGTGATCACTGCATGGAAATACACATTTGGGAGTGATGAGACATAAGACAGAGGCCAGTCAGAAAGAGATCATGAGGGCTTCAATTAGTGCAGTGGGTGAACCATTGACGTGGAGATGTGAAATGTCATAGAAGTAACATCAGTAGCACTGGGCAACCTTTTGGATGTGGGTTATGGGAGAAGTCAAAGTTGACTATTAGTTTTCTTGATTGAGTGGGGGTTCAAGAATAATTGTCCAATGTGTGGTAAAAAAAAAACAGTCCCTGAGTGGTTTTAATATAATAAGCTTCCCTCTAGAATTAACTCTTGAAATAGGGGGACACATCTTTGGAGAAAGTTTAGTTTGGTGCAAGATTGGAGGATAAAAGGGATGGGAATGATAACTTCTCATTTGAATGTCTTCACTGAGGTACTGATGGGACATGCAGGATGCATTCTGGTGAGTATGTGTACATATGATTCAGTTTTCCTTCTTTATATTTCTTGTATTATTTTCCACAAATGAAAGACACAAACAGGTCAGTGAGAGAACAATAAGAGGCATTTCCTTCTCTTTTCCATAAAAAGGATTTCCACCAATCAATTTAATAGTGAATGATAAACATGTTGGTTGAGAACATATTATTTCCAAAACCTTGAGGGTGCAGAAAAAAAACTGGAGCAGAGGGGTACCTGGGTGGCTCAGTCATTAAGCATCTGCCTTCGGCTCAGGTCATGATCCCAGGATCCTGGGATTGAGCCCCATGTTGGGCTCTCTGCTCAGTGAGAAACCTGCTTCTCCCTTTCCCACTTCCCTGCTTGCGTTCCCTCTCTCGCTGTCTCTCTCCCTGTCAAATAAATAAATAAAATCTTAAAAAAAAAAAAAAAAACTGGATCAGAGACTATTTTTTTAATAATTTTAAATCAGTTCATTGACACAGTAACATAATACACCTGCCTCCTTGATAGTCCCACCCCTCTTTTCCTGTCTATATTTTCCATCCTTCCTGCTTAGAACAAACTGTTCAGTAAAAACAGAAAAGGATAGGCTCCTACTACATCTCCCGTCCTGCCCTTAGGCCCTGTGAATCAGAATTGATTAGAGAGAGAGGGGAGTTGGCATCACCATACTCAACCAACCAGAGGCATCCAGTACCTAAAAACAGATTCCCTCATAACCCCCAGGCCTTGAGTTGCTATTCTCCCTCCTGTCTTTCTTTGTGATGCTAAGAAGGAGGTCATGGGGACTGGGCCTGCAATCAGGAGCAAGTATTCCTGGAGATGATTTGAGAATTGTAATTTGGCTAGTGTTTTTTAAGGTACAAGTGCCCCCCAAAATGCCCTGGTGGTGGAGGTGAACTTCAGTGTTCCTATTTGAAATGCATACGTGACATTAAACAGATAAAGCCAGTTTACCAAAATGCCAGCTCATGAAGAAGGAGGTGGTAGGAACTTTTGAAACAAAGTAATTACTTCCTTTTTTCTCCAGAGATGAAGATCCTGAGGTCAGTAGAGGTATCCCTATAGGACTTGAGTGTGAATTTGTGCTCCACTACTTACATTATGTGATCTAAGACCATTACTCACTTTTCTGAGCTTCAGTCTATTGCTTTATTAAAAAAAAAAAAAAAGACAGGTGCCTGGGTGGCTCAGTCGTTAAGCCTTTGCCCTCGGTTCAGGTCATGATCCCAGGGTCCTGGGATCCAGCTCCACATCGGGCTTCCTGCTCCACAGGAAGCCTGCTTCTCCCTCTCCCTCTCCCCCTGCTTGTGTTCCCTCTCTTGCTGTGTCTCTCTCTGTCAAATAAATAAATAAAATTTTTTTTTTTTTTTAAAAAGAGGGGGGATGCAAACTGAGCTCAGTCGGTTTTTGAAAGAACATAGCTAAAAGACCAAGCATGAAGCCTGCCATGTAGGACTTATTCAAAAAAAGTTTGTTCCATTTTCTTCTTTTTTCCATCCCATTTAACAACTTGACAAGACCACTGGGCATCCTAGATTCTGAGATCAACAAAGCTTCTCTAAGGCCAGATTTCAAACTTTAGACATCCAATAGTTATAAAAGACTACAGACAATTTTTCACCCCTTACCATCCCACCAATTATAATTAAAAACAAAAACAATACTAAACCATAAAAACAAATAAAAGGAAATATGACAAAATAATGTATTTCCCACTGAATACCTCAATGATTGCAATAGCCCATATTATAAATGTTGAAGGCCTGAAAATAAGTATCTCTAGTACACCCTTCTTTTTTGTTTGTGTGCTTTTGTCCTATGAATTTGCTAAGTTTTTTCAAATTGGTAACCCAGCACCTGAACCAGTCCTGATGCTAGGTGCCCATATTCCATGTTAGTGCTGGAACCCATCCCCCAACTATCCATAGTCCAGCAGTAGCCTCAAGTATCGTTTGAGTCATCTTTCCTTCCTCTCCAAATACTCATGTTTTTCTAAAAACTTCCTTAACTGGGTGTCATTTGCCACCTTCTCTCCTTCATTAGTCATCGGGTTTAAGTGCTAACAACTAGGTAAGTTCCCACGAAACAGAATAGCAGGATAGGGATGACTCAGCTACTTGAACAGTGAGCTCTCCCATGTGTGACATTTGAGCATGGAACTGTCAAGGTTCAGGAACAACTTGCATAAGGAGCTGATCTTATGGACCCTGGGGAGCAGGTGAGGGGCAGAATCTAGGGGAATCTCAGCTCAACCTTCTACTGTTCTCAACTCCACAGGGAATTCCCACTCATTTCAGCATCCTCTCCAACCTGGGCAAGAGCACAGGAGGGGAAGACCCTGCCCCTACTGGAAGGGGAAGTTTTAGAGAGTAGAAGAGGCAGGAAAGAGCTCTGAAGTAGGGCAGAAAGAAAACTCCTTCAGGGCAAGGACTGAATCTGAATCCATGAGCATTAAACAAATTGTGGATGGGCACCATGAGGACCAAAAACCCTATGTTGTACCTAAAGGTGTAGGGGCTACCAGGCAGTGATAACCATCCTGGTGATGTGACTGACTATGTCCCCATAGCCCCAAGATAGAAAGGGAATCAATACAAGATGTTTATTTATTCACCCAACAAACCCACATTAGGAGTTACTTTGCCAGTTTCTGTAAAAGGTCCTAAAGAAAACATATATTGCTAAAATGTCTGAATTCTTAAAGGGCCAATAGTTTAGTGAAGGTGGGAGGGAGAAAGAGAGAGAAGCAGATCATTATAACGCAGCACTTTAAATTCAAAGTTAGGGGCAGGAAAAAAAAAAAAAAGCCACCGTGAATGTAGAGAAGAGTGTCACCTGATCTAACCAAGACATCAAGGAAAGCTTTCTGGATGAGGTAGACTCATGGAGCACTTAGAATAGTGTTTGGCACATAGTAGATTCTCAGATGTTTGTTGATGAGTTTTGTTGAAAGCCAGAAGTAAAAACATACAATGATTGTCTACGAGTTGCTCAGATATCTAGAGAGGTGTGGACGAGTAAAGCAAACACCATAAAGAGTGATGGGTGGAAAAAAAAAAAAAAAGAGTGATGGGTGGGTCACATGACAAAGGGACACTGCTTTGTGACACTGTCTGGCCCTGGCCAAGTTATTGATCTCTAAGATATCAGTTCCTTAGGCAGTTCCTTAGTCTGTAAAAAATAGGTAATAATGCCTATTTCACAGTATTATCGGGAGGCATATATTTTAAAAGATGTTTCAATATGATGTCTCATACATACCAAGAATTCAATACATAGCAAATATTATTCCAGTCTCATTTCATAAATGAAATAGTAATGAGGTATCTAATCATGCACCAGAAGTCATAGCCAGTGACTTCTCTCACAGCAGAAACTGCTACAGAACCCAGAGGATTCTAGGGAATGGTTAATCTGAGCAGAAGTGGGTGGAGGGACCGTGGGATCTAGGAAAACTGAGTATTAATCCTGGGTTAGCTGCTCCCAAGTGGAAAGTGGGGCTGGGCATACAGTTTTAAAGATTCATAATTACCTATTCACATCATGTGAATGTTCAGTGTAGAGCCTAGAAGAAATTGCAGATTTGACTAGACCAAAAAGGCTGGGAATGGATGGGTAACACTGTCTTGGAATGAGGAGGAGTGGAAGAAGGGGATAGAGCTGGGATTAGCAGTAGGCCAGAAAAGGAGGGTGCCCTAAAGGATTATCCTGGAAATAAAGTCCTAAAGAATTCCAGTGGTGGCTTTTGCTTACCCCTGTGAGGGGTGCTTATCAGGTGTTCATGTTGGTGGCAACTGTTCTGCTAGCCTATCCTCCCCAGGGTCCAACTTTTTGTCAAACTGACATATTTGCTCAGGAAAATCCCCCTATCCACACCCGAATAGGACCAGGTTAAAATTAGTGTAGCAACGGAGGCAGCAAGGGCCAAATGGGGAGAAGGAAGAAATGGGGAATGAGTGTGTGCTTTCCTTTCAATGTCAGTCCTGCACAGCGTGGCCCCAAGAAGGCTTCATTTGTTTGCTTGTTTGCAGCAAAGAACTTGGTGAGAAAATCTCAGTGGGGAGATAAATACCTGTCTAAAGCTGTACAGAATTTCCCAGGGAGAAGACTTGTATGAAAGCCTTTATTTAACCAAGAGGGAAGAAAGGAATATTTTGTGTGCATTGTGGGAGAATTAACAAGACATTTCTCATCTCTCCAGAGAGAAAGTCCCAAAGAGGAATCTGCTCTGTGTGTGTTTCCAAGCTCTTTCCAGATGGGAGGGTTTTATGCCCTTTACTTACAGACCTCTGCTGATGTACCTTTGTTTTCTGTTTTCCTGCAGGTGGATCAGCAACTGCGACTCAGTTACAACTTCTCCCCAGAAGTCGAATTCAGGGCCATACGGTCACTCACCTTGGGCAAAGTCAAAGGTTTGTTCCTGTCCATTCCTTTCCAGTGGGCTTTGTTGAAATCAATGAAGAAATAAATAATTTCCATTGAGCTGGTTGGCGATTCAAATCTGGAAGCTCTTGCTCCTATAACATGTAAGATCTAAAACCAAGGTTTCTGGTATAGGACTTGCTGAGATATATATGTGGCAGGGTTTGGGGCTGGCATTTATATCTACTTCATAGAAGCCTGAGTAAGGCATATTAACATAGAAGTTGAATAAAATAATTGTTTACTTACTAATTAATTGATTTTAGATGTTTATTTTTTTACTTAAATTTTCTTAATTTTTACTTAAAGAAATTAAGGATTTGGGCTATCCAGTTATTGGATTGCTCAAATGCTTAATCTCTTCATTAATTCTTCACCAATTGAAAGAGGATTGAAATCTCCTATAATAGTGGATTTTCTTTTTTTTTCTACCAGAAGTTCTGTGAATTTTCATCTTATATACAATGAGGGTCTTTAAGAAATTTTTGTATCTTGATGAGTTGAACACTTTTTTTTTCATACTGAAGTGATCTTTTTAAATTAATTTCTCCTTGGAGTTAAGTCTGTTTTGTCTGTTATTAGTAAATCGGATTCATTTGTGTGGTCTATCTTTTCCCATATATTTCCTTTCAATTTTTCTTTTTCTTCCCTTTTTTTCTTTCTTATTCTTTTTAAATTCAAGTATAATGAATATGCATGCAGTGTTATATCCTTTTTAAGTGTGCAATATAATGATTCAGCAATTCTGTACATTGCTCAGTGCTCATCACGATAAGCATACTTTTGGTGTTTTTTTTTAAGATTTATTTATTTGAGAGAGAAAGAGAGACAGAGAAAGCACAAGCAGGGGCAGGGGTAGAGGGAGAGGGAGAGAATCTCAAGCAGACTGAGCAGGGAGCTTTATGTAAAGTTTTATCTCAGGACCCTGAGATCATGACCTGAGCCGATATCAAGAATCAGATGCTTAACTCACTGAGCCACCCAGACACCCCATGATTAGCATATTCCTAATCTTTCTTTTTCTTTAGGCCTGTGTGTAATCTTGTGAAGAACATATATATGGCTGGATTTTGTACTTTATCCAGTCTGACCATCTTTGGGTTATAAATTGGCGAATGTAAGCCTCTCTACATTTTGGGGTTGCTTGTATGGCTGGATTTGTCTCTGTTTCCTTATTTTCTATTCATTCAACTTTTTTGGGCATTTTGAACCAGAATGCATTTAACACTGGAAATGAGTTGCTTGCAAAATTGTGGCACCCCTTCCAGTATTGGTAAATTCTTGTTGCAGTCTTTTGGAATGACTATTCAGCAGTTGTGAGGGGATTTATGGGAAGCTATTAGCTCTGGGGCCATCACTGATGAGAGGCTAGAGTCCAGAAGCCCCTGAGGCCCCAGTCCTGCAGTACTCCTCCCCAGGAAGCAGGAAAGGTCTCTGAAAAGTGATGGAAGAAGACACCTCATGTTACCATGATTTTACTTGCCAGTAGAAACAGCTGAAGAGGCATAAAAATGACTCCTGTCTCACTGCAGCCTTCCAGATGCATAAACTTATTTAATTTCCAGAACATTATGCACGTCCAGAAACCCAGCTGCAGTCAGGTCCGGAAAATGTCAATTTTAGCTTCCAAAATGGCAGTTGAATGAGCCAGTCACCACTGACCAACCTCTGGATTGAATTTTGTGTGTTTTCTTATTTTCATCCCCCCTCCTATTAATAATCATTTTATGTTGACACCATTATTGTTATTATTGTTGTTGTTATTTATTTATTTATTTATTTATTTATTTATTTATTTAGAGAGAGAGAGAGAGTGCAAGTGGGGGTGGGGAAGGGCAGAGGGAGAGAGAGAAAGAGAATCCCAAGCAAAATCCAAGCTGAGCTCAGAGACTAACATGGGGCTAAATCTCACAACCCCAGTATCAGACCCAGGCAGAAATCAAGGGTTAAACACTTAAGGACTGAGCCACTCAAGTGCCCTGACACTATTATTTTGATTTAATAATGCAGTCACTAATTTACTTGTTCCTCAATCCTTCATATACTTCATAATTTTCTACTTACTATAAGGTTTAATTTCCTTCTTTCTGAAGTAAATCCTTATGAGTTTCTTTGTCTAAGTGTCCGTTCATCTGATAAAGGACTTTATTTCACCTTTATTAATGGAAGATAATTTTGCTAGACATACAATTCAATAATAAAGGATATTTTCCTTCTGATATTGAATTATTCAGGTATGTGATGGAGCTAGCTCACACTAGCACATAGGAACCTGTTATACACATCTGTGCCCAATTCTGCATTCACTGATACAATCCAGTTTGAAACTGGATAAACTCAGAGTGTTTATGGAAATCAGAAATGCTACAGGTCTCTCCCACTATTAAGGGGTCAGATTTAAATCCTCACCAGCACATCACTCTAGTCTTCTGTCTTTTGCTATTACTGTTGAAAAGTTGGCTGTCAGTCTGTCCTGCCTTTGAAAGTGCTCTGATCATCCCCACCCCCAACACCCACACGCTACTTTTAAGGTCCTCTTTTTTATTTAGGTGTTTTGCAGTTTTATAGCCTTGTGTCTGATAGTATATTTCTTTTAAAGTATCTCCTTTGATGTGTGTGTTTCCTGTTTGTATCTATTTATTAGCTCTTATGTATCTATCTATAGCATATGTACTATCCACATGTATCCATGTATTAATTCTCAAAAATTCTCAGCATGTCAAATCAGACTTCTTTCTTACTCTCTCTATTCAATTATTTTAGACCTGCACTAGGTAAATCTTACATTTTCCATTTTTATCTTCATGTTTCTTACTGTACTTTTATAATAAATATCATTATTATTAATATTTTTGTCTATCTTGCATTCCGGGCAATGTATTGGTTTTCCCATCTTCAAATTCACTAATTCTCTCTTCAACTCTCCCTAATATCTCATTAAACCCAGTCATTGAGACATTTTGCATTGATTATCATTTTATTTCTAAAAGTTTTTATTTGTTCTTTTTCAAACACATCTATTTAGTCTGTTGTTCTCACCCATTTTACTGTTTCTATATTTTTATGTCTAATTGTTATGTTAATAGCTATTGAACATTTTGCCTCTGATAATCCCAATATCTGAAGTCTGTAGGGGTCTAAATCTGTGATTTTTGGTTTTCTACTCCTTTCCTATGGTTCCTTGTTCTCATGTGTGTGTGTCTGTGTGTGTGTCTGTATGTGTGTGAACACGTATTTTGTTGAAATTAATTTGTAGAAACACTGATGATCAAAAATTCGGAAGCCTTCTTCTAGGCAAAATTTGCATTTAATCCTACCAGTACCAAGAGGTGCTACCAATTTAGGATTATTTTAAGTTCTCGCTTTTTTTTTTCCTTTCGGAAAAGAGAGTGAGTATAAGTTTGAGCTGCAGACCTGAATGAGAGCAAGCCTATGACTGAAGTTTCAGCAGAAATGTTGTACTATGAATATCATATGTCATGTTATTACTTTTGTTACCTTTTTTTTTTTTTTTTTACAATTCAAAGCTGCATCAGAAGTGGACAGATTTTATGTTTAATCCCTTTGCTGTTAGGTGATATTCTTTTTTAGTCTCCTTTTCACTAAAACTTCATGTGAGAGTCTCAGATTCAACATCTGCACTTGGAAAGGGCTCAAGGCTTGGATTTCTATTCTTCTACAAGCTGGTACAAGTATTTCTGCATGATACAACCCTAATATTGGTTTATGGCTCACTGTCTTGGTTTTGTCCTCCTAAAACTTATGATTCTTTGTTCCTGAAGTTCAGTGAGACAGTAAAAGTATGTTTGTTGATTTTAATGAAGCAGAATTACATTTTAGAATATCTAGTCTATTATATGTTCTATGCTACATAAATATATATTGATTCATGTCATCCTCACTTCAGCCAAATCAGAAGAATCTTGGGAGGAAAGATAATTAGGGCTGCATGACCACAAAACTCAGCTATTTTTCATAGCATCTGCTTTGTGCAATGGAAGTTCTAGAAACATCCACTTGTTTAAACAGTGTCTCTCCATTAGTTTTGTCACCACGTAGGATGTAACTGTGGTCTTCCCATCTTTTGAATTAAATTCATAATATGTGAGACCAAAAATGTAAAACTCTAACTAAAGATACTAAATTTCTGATGGATACCTTGTCATTTTGTTTTGGGTACTTTGTGAGGAAAGATTGGAAAGAACTTGGTTAAGTTGAGGAATAATACTCAGTAGAATTTTTTCTTTGCGCTTATGTTTGGGGACGCCTGACAGCTGGCATCCCTCCCCATCCAAACTGCTATTGCAGACAGGACTCCCAATTAACCTCACCACTTCTGGTTTATTAGAAGTCTCTAGGTGGAGGTGAAGGAGATGATATGAACATCAACTTCATTATTAAGGAGGGACACTAATCCTGGGAATTTGTTGGGATTAAGCCTTATGCATCAGAAAGAGTATGGTGTAGGGATTCAGGATACGGGAAGGGATGGTACAGAAATGGGTGAGTGGAATTGATGGCAAATGAAACCCTACTCCACAATTTTATTTTATTTTATTATTTTATTTATTTATTTATTTATTTATTTATTTATTTATTTATTTATTTAATCACCATACATTACATCATTAGTTTTTTTTTTAAACTTTTTTTTATTCTTATGTTAATCCCCATACATTACATCATTAGTTTTAGATGAAGTGTTCCATGATTCATTGTTTGTGCACAACACCCAGTGCTCCATGCAGAACGTGCCCTCCTCAATAGCCACCACCAGGCCAACCCATCCTCCCACCCCCCTCCCCTCTAGAACCCTGTTTGTTTTTCAGAGTCCATTGTCTCTCATGGTTCGTCTACCCGTCCGATTTCCCCCGCTTCATTCTTCCCCTCCCGCTACCTTCTTCTTCTTCTTCTTTTTTTTTTTTCTCAACATATATTGCATTATTTGTTTCAGAGGTACAGATCTGAGATTCAACAGTCTTGCACAATT